ATGCTAATAATGTATTTTTGATGGGTCCGCAGAAACGGGACGGGACGGAACAACGGGAACGGGAAGGGAACGACGGGAACGTCTTATTTTAGGACTAACAACTTCACTTTAGACTTCACTTACATGCGTTTAAGCACCTAGGCCGCTTACCGTGGCCTACATTGCCGATTACTGAAACGTAACACCAGTAAAGCTTTCCGACACGGCGTCTTCACCGACAGACCCGAAGCATGCTCCAGGGTCAAATTCACCAAGGAGACCCCGGGGGTGCCGTCGCCTCCCCTTGAGGCCCCTCTGGGGGCGGCCCGGGCCGGTGACGTCACGCAGAGCGGGAGGGCCGCCCCTGAGCTGTCAGCCGGGGGCGGCCGCCGGTCAGGGGCGCCCATTGTGCCCGGCCGCTCAGTTCTGCCGGTGCTAATCGACTATTGCGCACCGCCCAGATCGCTGTGCACTGCACGGTCACGTAGAGGTGGCCGCGCCTTGCCCGGGCGGGTCGAGCGGGCGGGCCCCAAGGCTACTGCGCAGCACAGGCACCTGATCAGGCCAGTTGGAGGGAGGGCACGGTCACGGCGCTCTCCTGGAGGCGAAGACCTCAACCCGTGGCGGAATATAATCAAGTCACTGATTTGCGTGATCTGGGAGTACGAAGTAAGTAGTAGTACGCGTAAGTACGAGAAAGAGCGTAGTAAGTATAGCAAGAACGAGTCGCAAACTTTGACGCAAACCAGACGGACAGAAGCCGGCAAAGTACGCCGATAAGCCAGCTCGAATGTCAGTGCACCGTCCGGCTGGGACGTTCATGAACTGTCTACAATTACACATTATCAGGATCAAGTATGCTGAACTGTGCAGCGCCGCGGACGAACCAGACGGCGCGGGCGGCGCTCGGCACCTCCGGCCGTTGGTGGACTTTGCCACGCGCTGAGGAGGCGCCGGCTCCGGCTCCGGTGAGTCACGGCCGACCGGACGGAAGCCCGGCTGACCCGGCCCGTCCGCCGGCGCCCGCACCTCTTCACCGTTACACCTCAGTCGCGGTCAGCGCTCCGCCACGGTTAGAGCTTCGTCACGGGTACGTCTCCGCCACGGTTACAGCTCCGTCATGGTTATAGCTCCGTCACTGTAACCACTCCGTCACGGTTATAGCTCCGTCACGGTTACAGCTCTGTCATAGTTACCACTCCGTCACAGTTAGAGCTCCGTCACGGTTAGAGCCCCGTCACGGTTACAGCCCCGTCATGGTTATTTCTCCGTTACGGTTTTGTCACTGTTTTTTTAACTCTTTTGTTGAAGGCTAAGAACCTGCTGATGACATCAAGTAAGCTGTCACAACTATACGCCCATTGCTTACGTGGTGCGGCGACGAGGATGTTCTGTGGCGTACTTCAATCCGCCTTTCCGACGTTGAACCTCGAACTAAATGACGCCTCGTAAGAGGCCCTACGAGCCGACTGCCTGTCAGACCTAGCGCACCCTGTACCTTATCTTCACAACAGAAACCAGATGGACATCCTGTGTTATTTTTGTTTGAAAACAGTGAAGCCTGACACCAAACATCCATGCGAGAATGTGAAGAGTCCGAGCCTCCGTCGACGCGTTCAGCACAGTTCAAATGGTCCATACCAACCAACACAAATCGAGAACGTACTTATGGAATTGATGGAAGGCCGGACCTGATGCTATGCAGGAAATATGCCCCTCGGGAATCAACATTTCTTCCCGAGCTGCAGCATAATTGGCAAGATAAATCGTCTTGAAAGGCCCTAATTGCCTTGAAATAGCATGAAGCCGTTGGAATGTTCCTGAATAGCGGTCTACGTACACCGTGTCGCTCACAAGTGTCCACCTGCAGCAGCGGACTGAGGTGCTGCGCGTCGTTCATCGTGCGACCCTGCTCTCTCTCCACCAGATGGTACCCTATGGGCGCTGGCCGACGCTGTCCGCTCCGTGCCGGGTGGTGCGCCGCCCACAGGCCCGTGCGGCGGTCAGCACAACACAACCCAACGAGCTGCGCGGAATCGCACGCTGGTCAGCACACCTCCGGCACCGGTTTATTGCAGGTTTGCAGAACCGCCTCCTGCATGTGACCCATGCCCCGTGGACGACAGCCTGCGAGACTGTAGTGGCTTTAATGAAACCGAGTGCAATTGGCTGCAATCCGGGTACTAGCTCGTTGCAGATGATAGCTAAGAAACGGGCGGAACATGGGCATTAACCTCCGATTGTTCGAATGTTGAAGCGTCTTGAAGCGCACTGACAGTAGCGATTTACGGCTTAAAATTTCACGATGAAAGCCTATGACATCCGACCAGCAGCTCCTCACACTGCGTCCGACATGGGCTGGCTCGCTCGGCGTCCCCACGGACGTGGTGGGCCAGTACAGCGATAGGGGTGGATTTGGAGCAGTTCGCTGGGGTGGCCGGACGTTTACGTGGGTCGCTTCGGGTCAGAACGCCGATAGGGACGGAGCTGGACCAGTTCGCTAAGGTGATCGGACGTTTACGTGGGACGCTCCAGGCTCGATGGCGATTCTCACCGCGGCTGGCCACGTCTGGCAGATAAGCATCGACAGCAGTTTATCTGGCTATACGTGTCAGCCATTAATTCATGGCTGTTTACTTGACAGAAACAACAAGGCCCTCAGCTGCTGCTCTTTTCTTACATTATGAGATCTGAACTGAAAATAACCGACCTTTGATATAGCTAGACAAAGGCGCGCAGCCAGAGCCTTGCCAAAAGGGGGGGGGCGGGGGGCACAGGGTTGACAAAGGGCCCCCTGATAGTAAGGGGGCCCCCAAAAATGACGTATATGTCCCATTTGTTAATCCGGGAATATTTGTCTCTGAAATTTTTCATTTTTACATTCTATTACTGGGAAAGAAGCCAGAACCTACCGCGGGACTAACACTGCCTGAAAATTATAGCCAACAAACTACATAAGTCACGTATTAAACGACCACATAAAACAAATCGCCCGTGCTCTTCAGTTTACAATGGTCTAGTGAGCTCTTTTTAAGCCTACTGAGCTCAGAAACTTCGTTAGAAGTAGTGTCTGGGTTGTACGGAGATATAAAAGACCCTGCGATTTTCGATTGAAGATAAAAATGGGTCAACAATCTATATTGACATGGCCAAGTCATGTTTGTCTGGAAATGTTCAACATTCAGCCAGAATCGATTAGTGATGCAACTTAAACGTAGCTGTGAGCATGTGCACTCGCCCATCTTAGCAACAAAACCTCCACGCCAGGCGTTGCAGTCTCCGCTAGCTGTACAGCGTCGGCCCCGTGGCTGACACTGAGCCGTGGTCAACAGGTGGACAAAAATGCTGACGTATCTGAAAGAAGTACCTTTGAACGCTTCAAGACGCAAAATCGGGCATTTAGAAGATATTGCAGACGTATATTTTACCTGAGCGACTTTTCAATCGATGATACCAATGGATTGGTCTTTCCAGCACCACCTCGTGGTGCTGGAAGCTGACAATGGAACTGGAAGAGTAAGGCAGAGTCTCTATTTTTCGTCTTGCTGTAGCTGTAATCTGTCCAGAGAACATCCTCAAAGATTCAAAAAGGGTAAACCAAGTCTTATCTTTGAACTTAACTAATCAATTTTGAAAGGCGTTCAGAAACATTATTTTACGATGGTTACTGTTGCGCGCACGACATTCGCCACCTGGCGCTGCTTGCAGTGCCGTTCGGTTTTACGAAAACTACAACCCAGACCATCGCTGTCCGTGTTCCCGAGATTTCGAGCACCAAGGCTCAAACTGTTTGATGCAATTTGTTGCACTAGTCGATTCTGCCAAAGAATGGACGTTTTCAGGCAACATGGGGTGACATTGTGCGATTTTGAAATCATTTCAACACACTCTGTCCAAAACTTATGAGACACCATATTTCTTTTCAATAAAGGGCCCCCTTGAGAAGAACACTACGGGACACATTATTACTCCCGGTGAAGGGCTGAAGGGCCAATACCAAGCGCCCCGACCAGTGTAAATCACTGGCCTCGGCTTTATAAGTGACTGGGAAATGGGCTCTCGGGCCCATACCGACACGGAGACGACTGTACGGTGCTGGTGGTGGTCAACCGACACAGAGGCCCATATCGACTCAGGGGTCCCCGCTGGTCGCAAAGGGCCCTCTGACTGTGATTTGAGCGCCCGTCTCTCCGTAGACCGGAGTCCCTGAATGCGACTTCGACCGGCCTTTTGGTCCCTCAAATCAGGCCCTTAACTGTAGGTTCCGAGGGGTCTGAAGGGCCTCTTGGAACCTAAAGTGTGGGGGGGGGGGGTACGCGCCCCCGGTGCTCCCCTGCCCGAGCTACTGCCTAAACTTTCTGCTTAGAAAGATAGATGAAGTCTGCACCAGCAGCTCGAGACACTTCTTGATGCTATCAAGTGCAATCCTATTACTGGAGATGTCATGCACCAAATGACCCAGTTCACAAAACATCACCCGAAACTGAGGAATGCTGAAAAAATGGTCATGCTCATCCTTCACGACAAACAGCACAAACTTGACCGTCAGCGTCCGTACAGATTCCAAACATCTTTCGTCTGTCAACAGCCCAGGTTTTCCTTTCTCAATTTGTGTTCAACTTTGATACAGTCGTTACTATGAGCGCTGCCTTGGCGCGTCGACTAATCCCATAATGCGTCATAAATATTTACTCAGCATCCTCGCTCAACCAGTTCCTCCTGGCGGATTGAAGGTCGGCGATTTTAAACATGAAATCACATGTCACTTTTTTACTGAACAACTTCAGAGTGAGCGCACTCATGCCTGGTTTACCCCAGCTCTCGTCACGGAATGCGACGTTGAATATTGACACCGGCGGCTTCGAATCTCATGCAGGCCCACATATTAGGCCCACATGTTTGTAGATAAAACATGAACGCCTCTCCCAATAATTTTACTGCTCATCTCGAGAGCCACCAGAGAACCCAGACCAGGCATATAATTGCCGCGGCAGGCGCATGGGTAGCGTAATGAGCTAAGCATGGACAAGTACGGTTTCACACGCACCCGGGCGGCCGGTTGAATCCTCTTCGCTCGGGTAGGGGTCCATTTGACCCCCCTAAGATCCCAACGACTAAGAGACACCAAATTCACAGGGTTTGTTGGCTTGTATATGAACTCACTTGTGCTACAATTTGAGGTTCTTAGACCATGAGCTTCGGGTCAAACTCCAGATTTGTGTCCAAAGCGCCTACAAATCTAGATACCGGTTCTGACAAAGAATCACTGGTGCCCATTTAAGGTCAATGGCCTTGTTTGACCTTTTCAGGTAATGGTGCAGAGAAACATACAAGACTACGCTGAATTTTGCATTTGAATAAGTGATGAAGTTTGCGTTAGGCGGTACGTTCCGAAAAAAAATGCTGACCTGGGTCATTTAAGGTCAGTGACCTATCCTAATCTTTAAAAAGTTCATGGTACATGTATATGCGGTTCCTGTTATCAATAAACTCAAAATGAGCACCATAATCTACCCAATACAGCAAGCTCTAGAGTAATGAAACAGGTTGGTTTTGACCTTACTCTGACCTTCATACCTGACCTTATGTCAATTAAATTTGTTCAATCAACTGTTTTGTTTCCCGAGAAGCTCTCGTAGAGTTGCATGGTTTCATCTATCGCACCGTTGTTGCTTCAGATTGAACGATCCCCAGAAGATATCTTTGCTAAATCTATGACCTGACTTTGACTTGTGGTAAATTAATGACCTTACGAGCTACATTAAAGTTTTTCCATACCAAACGATCTGCTAATCAATTGTCTACTGCAGTGCAAACTTTGGCGTAGATACGCTGCACCATTCAGAAACCATTCCGGAAAAACCTTCGGAGGGTCAAATTGACCCCACCCAAGCGCGCGTTTTAACTCCCTGCTGACTAACATCAAAGTGATGCGTTGCATATGCCTCGCTTTTTCCAACGTGCGTGTTCTGCAATCGCACTAACGTGCCAAGATGCTTGTGTAATAAGTTGTATGAAAGCTTGAAACACTCTGTTTAGACAAAAAGATATGCGAACAACGAAATGCTATCATATGGCTTTGATTCTTGCCCTATGTATGGCGCTAACCACAGGTTGCAGCTTCAGTGGCGCTACCCGATGCTTTTATTAGACGTAACTAGTCCTGAGATCCCACCAGCTTATGTTTTTTATATTTCCTAAAGGTGGGACAGTCCCTTTGAAGGGAATGCTTTACATTTGGAGATTTGAAGCAAACAACAGAAATGACGAAACAATCTCACTTATACCTACTAGCATTTCTTCACTAGAAAAATCGTTTAAAGTTATAAAAAACTGCAGACAATACAATTCCTCCGTTCAGTAAATGTGCTCACTGGACTATGCGACACCCCAACAAAGGCAAGCATAACTGAATGAGGACTGTTTCACTGTATCATAGCACTTTCTGCTCCGAATCCTAGCGAAATCGGTTCACTAACTGATCAAATCTTAGGACACTGCCACAGAAACGAGCACACCTCGCTAACTCATTGCGGCGAGAAAACTATAGCCTCCTTGATATAGGCATATATTTTGGATTCATGATATAAGCCTGCTTTAAGATTATGGTTTCAACCCTATTGGGCCTCGACTGGTCATAGTTTATCATAATGTATGTTTTGGGGGCGCACAGAAGGGTTCTACACTGCTTCGACCGTCACAAACGAAGCCAGGATTGGATTTGAGTCCGTGCTGCATGGCTGCGGGCATCACCACACCACCTGAAGTAAATCGGTTCTTACGGAGGACTGTCCAGGTAACAACACCCCGCTTTTATCGGAGAGAGCTGTACAGGGTACAGTGGCCGGCCCACGGCTGCTACTGTCTGTAGCCCAAACTACTGCATGTAGCACATTCAGCCAACATCAATATCGAACGCAGCTCCATACGCGGGAAAACCGCATGCTCCTACCGTTTAGGCCGGTTACCTGTCTGGAAAATATTCAGTCCGTCACGGAGATGAACACCCGTCTGACTGCAGCACCGGCCCGGCCTCTGCGGTACGCCACCGAGCACCTCTCACCTGGACGGGCTCCGTCCCTCTCGCCGGCCGGTCGCGTCACCGCCTCCCCGCGACCCGACCGATGCGTCCACCTCCTCCCGCGGCCAGCTCCGCCGCGGTACTGCCGCTGCGCCGCCGGCCGCCGCGGCCGTGCCGACGGAGGGCGCCGCCGCACCAGCAGCGCAGAAGCGGCCGCCGCTCGGCCGGTGCGGCTCTGGGGAAGACTGGGCCGGGTGCCGGCCCACCTGACTCCGGTGACCTGAGGTGGACACGAGGAGGGATGACCTGAGACGGGCACGGAGGGGTGATGACCTGAGACGGGCACGGAGGGGTGATGACCTGAGTCTGAACGTAGAGGAGTGATAACCTGAGACGGGGCAGGAAGGAATGATAACCTGAGACGGGCACGAGGGAGTGGTGCCCGGGTGACGGACATGGAGGGTTGATGAGCTGAGACGAGCACGGAGGAGTGGTGTCCTGAGACGGGCACAGAGGAGTGATAACCTGAGACGGGCACGGAGGGGTGATCCCCTGAGACGGGCACGGAGGAGTGATGAACTGAGACGGGCACGGAGTAGTGATGAACTGAGACTGACACGGAGGTGTGATCACCTGAGACGGGCACGGAGGAGTGATGAGCTGAGACGAGCACGGAGGAGTGATGACCTGAGACGAGCACGGAGGAGTGATGAGCTGAGACGAGCACGGAGGAGTGATGACCTGAGACGAGCACGGAGGAGTGATGAGCTGAGACGAGCACGGAGGAGTGATGACCTGAGACGAGCACGGAGGAGTGATGACCTGAGACGAGCACGGAGGAGTGATGACCTGAGACGAGCACGGAGGAGTGATGAGCTGAGACGGGCACGTAGGAGTGATAACCTGAGACGAGCACGGAGGAGTGATGAGCTGAGATGGGCACGTAGGAGTGATAACCTGAGACGAGCACGGAGGAGTGATGAGCTGAGACGGGCACGTAGGAGTGATAACCTGAGACGAGCACGGAGGAGTGATGAGCTGAGACGGGCACGTAGGAGTGATAACCTGAGACGAGCACGGAGGAGAACGAGCACGGAGGAGTGATGAGCTGAGATGGGCACGTAGGAGTGATAACCTGAGACGAGCACGGAGGAGTGATGAGCTGAGACGGGGAACGTAGGAGTGATAACCTGAGACGAGCACGGAGGAGTGATGAGCTGAGACGGGCACGTAGGAGTGATAACCTGAGACGAGCACGGAGGAGTGATGAGCTGAGACGGGCACGGAGGAGTGATAACCTGAGACGAGCACGGAGTAGTGATGAGCTGAGACGGGCACGTAGGAGTGATAACCTGAGACGAGCACGGAGTAGTGATGAGCTGAGACGGGCACGTAGGAGTGATAACCTGAGACGAGCACGGGGGAGTGATGAACTGGGACGGACACGGAGGAGAATGGTGACCTGTACAAACCGCGTGAGTGGTGCCCTGGCACGGTCATGAGTCTAGTGGACCCGGAAGTCTCGGCCTCAGTCTGGGGCTCAAGTCCTCAGGAGCCGAAACGTGTGCAGGGGTAGACGTCCACAGGCTATCGGGGGATAGTGGTGCCACAGGATCCCTTTAGCTGGGAGCTGGCCGTAGCCCCGGACTGGACTCGTAACTTCGGACTAACATTGGACACATAGATGACCTGAGACCATCAGGGTGGCGTGGCGACTACAGGTCATTGCGTCTGTGAGTCGAAAATTATAGGAAGGCTCCTTGTTCCAGCGCTGTTGCGAAGAACATGTTGATAATGAAGTTACTGATCATTTGTCCGCGAGTCTGGTAATTATGTCGAAAAAGGCAAGATCAACGTTAAATCAAATCCGACATTTCGACCACTGGTATTCGTCGGACATTTAAGAGCTTACGAGCTTACACTTAACACAGCTTACGACATGGTTTCAAACAGCTCTCGCTTTTTTAGATATTCGAAATGTAGCCCGCTAAAGCATCCCTCGGGCTTCACTCAGCCCAACAAAATATTTTGCACAGGTACACGAACACGCATTCAGATGCATAGCATAGGCAGCAAACACTGGTGTTAATAAGGTGCGCGGCAGCACCTGCCGCGTACACACGACAGCTTCGTGGGAGCACTATCTGCAGCAACGTCAGTTGGTTGTCGGCAGACAACACATGTCGTGTTCATCTGAACATTTGACGGCGCTTAACTGAAAGCGGAACGACTGGTGTCGTTTTAAGAAAAAAGTAGCAGCCCAGAACAATATTTATAATCGAGCGGGAAGAGTGCGACAGTGTGGATTAAAAAGCTCTACCGAACGGCTATCAGAAAACACTGGACACGGTTCTTGCCGGACTAAAACCCTGCTATTGCGTTGATCACCTGGCAAAGCGTCTCTTAATGGCGATGACGGTACAGCATGGGGTGGCCATTTGCATACTCACGACGGCCATTTAAAATTCTAACTTATTTGTGTGTGCGTTGGGTGCCAACGTGTGCACACCACAGCACTGTGGGAGCGCTGCTAGTCAGCAACGTAAATTAGACGTTGGTGGACAACGCTTACTTCGCACATTTGTCCTCTAGACGGCGCATTAATGAATGCCACATACCGCTTGTCACAGGTGACTAAATGCATAATGATTAACATCCGGCAACACGAGAAACAATGATGATAATCGCGCGTGAAATATGCAAGCGTGTGAATTTCATAACAATGCTTTAGGGCTATCAGCTGACATTGGAGGCTATCGGCTCAAGGCACACATTTCATTGGGTTGACACCCTGACGGCGGCCGTGAAGGTTATTCGCGCAGCGGGCGCTTTGACACTTTGCCATGTTGCTACCCTGACTGCTTAGAGAGCGTCGTACACTGCGCTCTCTTTCAAGCCCACGAAGTCGGACGTGCTTAGCAGTGTTGGCTACTCAAAAATGCACACCATTCACTAGAGATGCTCCAGGGTGCCCGGACGACCTCCTGGGTCACTTAGCCACGAGGCGCTGGCAGTAACTGGGCCAAAGGGTATGCTCGTTCACAAACACGATGTTCGGCCTGCTCCAACTCGATATTGCACGTTCTCGGGTGCTGTGAGCTGTTGTGCTCCGTGCGTGGTGAGGAGACGGCGCGCTCCGCGCCAGAGAAGTTCGAGGTCGGAGCCTGACACGGTGTGAAACGATGCCGAGTCTTCTCACAGTTGCAGAACGCGACTGGCTTTTACGATAATCCACGACGTGGATAATGAATTTGGACATAAACCAAACGAATTTTCCATTATTGCGTATTAACCATTGCTAGCTTCTATGCTGTTTTGCCAATGCTGCCAGCGACGCTTTTTGAACAACGATTTGGTATGGTAAATGCCACTGAATCTCGAAATCACGAGATCTTCTAATCCCGTGATTTGGCATTAATAGAGTCCCAGGATCCCAGAATTGTCGAAACCTAGTTGATAAGATGTCATTGCAGGATCCATACCGACCGTCAATGTAAATCGGCCGTCGGCCATCACCTGTTTTGTTAATCTGACACTCATCCATTGTATTACATCCCCTACTTTGTTGATCTGACACAGAGCATCTATTTTACTCGGCTGATCCCTCGGTGCGCGGTGCGGGTAACCGTGCGCTCGTGCACACGATAACACTGTGGAAGCGCTGTCTGCCGGCCACGTCAATCGGTTGTCGGTGAACAGCGCTCATTTGTACATATGCCACCCGGCAGCGCATCGCTGGATGAGGTCTGGCGGCCTGTAGCCTAGTGGCAAACATCCGGCAGCACTGGAAAAAAATAAACATTTCTGATCGCGCGGAGTCTGGCCACGCGCAATCAATAGCGAAGGATATTTCTACCTGACGTTGCTGGCACGGCAATCCGCCGTACTTCGATCATATCGCGAACAGCGGCGTGCCTGCCTGTCAAAGGCTAACGAAAAGCTTATGACGTGAGTTGGCGAGATCATATCCACGTTAAGTCGGGATCAGTAGCGAATATCCAGTGAAATCACGGAGAACCGCTCCAACAACCACGCCGACCGACGTGCCGTAATCCCTCGTTATCGCCGCGAATCGAAGCCGACTGTTTACTGACTGACTTCTGTCGGACTGCTGACTACTGTTGGACGTCTGTTCTGTTTTGTTGAGCTCCTGACGTGACTGGAGATGGCCGGATACGCTTCATCCCAAAGCCCCACTGGCGGCAAGCGTCCGCTCCACAAGCACGCGCGAACACATACGATTGGATGATTTTATTTCCTTCGTACCCGGCACGTGCCGCCAACGATCACCGCCCACACGTGATCCACCGGTTACCCGCTACGGAGGAATGTTCGGAGCGCCGCCGCATCGCTCGTCTTCCCGGCCGCCGGGCTGGACGCTCTTCGTCCAGGCCTTGGCCGGCTGCGGGGCGCACGCCGAGCAGCGCCGGACCGTCGGCCGGCGCCCCACGGAGGGCAGCCCTCCTCGGCAAGGGGCGCCGGTCGGATGCGTCACGATCGCGAGCGAGGTGAGGCGGCACACATGGCGGCCACAGCGGGGACCGGACACGCTCGCCGGCTCACAGGCCCGCGGCTACATCGGTCAGATGAAGACGGGACAACCGGGTCACCGTATGCGTGCCTCACCGGTTTCGATAGCGACTTGTACGCGTACCTCACGTCTACCATGTGTTTAACGGAGAGTGATGCGATACCAGGCTATAAGGCATCCTGTACAGCACACGCAGCAGCTGGCGCTCGTGCCTGCTCTCGATGTGTGGACCGGTCCGCATGCCCTGTTTGTCACGGCCAGAGGTCGCCAGAGGTGAGACCTACGACAAAGGTCCGGCCGACGCGGACAGACGGGATGCGACACAGACCCTACGCCGGGCCGGGCCGGCGCCGCGCGCTGCGGACGACACTGGACGCCGCCTATCATGACCAGCGACACAGACCGGGCGCGCCGGCCCGGCCGGTGGAGCGTGCCGTCCAGGAGCGTCCGGGAGGAGGCGGGTCTCGCCCCCCCCCCCCCCCCCCGCCTCCCCCGGAACGGCTGGCAGCATCGGTGGAGCACGCACCTTGTTCGAACTGCGGCGGCCCTCGCGTCAGTGCACGTGCGTGCCACGTGCCGAGATAACAACACTATTCGCTGAAGGCAACATTGCACGATGTCCTGGACGCTGTCGGGCCGGCGGCGCGGGGTCGCTGGCCGGCCATAATTGGACGGAGCGCTACCGACTATTCGCCCGCCCGCACGACCAATAAATACCGTCCACTGAATCAACTAACGATGGCCGGGCATCACGCGACTGGCGACCCCACCAGCATAATCACCAGTATAATCAACATAAACATAATCATTTGAACCCCGTCAAATGGACGCCGTATCTGACTTTCTCAGGCACTATCGGGGATATTTAGGTATGTACAGGTGACGTAATCACACGCGTGCCCACCGCCATCCGGCGATGCGCTCAGTTCTGTGGCTACAACCAATCACAGGCGTTCTCCAGCCTCTCCCGACGCCAAGCTCAGCGTCCCGCGACTTCCGGCGCCAGGCCCGCCGGCCAATCAGAAGCGTCCCTCGCCGCTCGCTACCGCTGACTGGCTGCGGCCAGTCACGTGGTCGCCGGTGGGGTGATGCCGAACACGGGTCCGATGCGCAGGAAGAATTTGCGCAGCACGGCGCGCAGCTCGGGCTTCAGGTCGAAGCACATGACCTCGCAGAGCAGTGGGTAGTAGTTGGAGGCGTGCGCCCGGAACTGCGGCAAGCAGACAAGGCCGTGTCAGGGGCGAGAGCTTGCGCGAGCATCTCACGCAAACATCACCAGCATCGCCATGACGACAAAGGCAGAGAAACTGAACGGCCGACAGATAGCGGGCGCTACTTAATATTTCACAGATTAATAGGTTCATTCGAAAGCATGACATACACTGTTGAGCGCTCCAGCGACGACAGCGCAACAACTGCCCTCTCGAAGACAGCCGTGTGCATGCCAGCGCACCCTCGCGGCCGAGCGAGAGCGTATCGGCGCTCTCAGCAGGAGACGCCCGCCGCCCACGAGCAGTAGCGACCCCCGAAATCCCTCACAGCAGCGCGCCGCCGCGCCCAGCCCGCCGCCACTCACCCGCTCATCGTCCATCTTCTGGACGCGCGTGAGGAAGAGCAGCAGCAGCGCCACCCAGGCGTCGCGGTGCGCCTCCGACTGCAGCGACAGGTAGTACTCGAGCGCCTCGCGGCACGTGGCGATCAGCCGCTGCTCCACCTGCGGCCAGCCGGGCCGCCGCTGCTCGTCGGCGTACAGCCGGAACAGGATGCGCAGCGCGCACGCCAGGCTCTGCGTCTCCTGCTTCAGCAGGTTCGGCTTGGCGTTGCCCTTGAAGCCTGCCGGAGGACGGGCCGGTCAGAGACGGCCGCGCGGTGATCGACGTCCGATTCGGTGTGAATGGTGGTGAGCGCGCGCGCGTCTCGAGGCTGTTCGGCTCATAGCAGCCATGCGGAGGGGCATCGGCGACAAAGGCCAGTTTGCCGGGTGACAGCAACGCAGGCAACAATCAGGCGGAAGTATTTCGTCGCTTACCTGAACCGGCTGCTGCAAAATTAAATGGCATGTTACATGATGCCAGCTAGCAGATCCTAGCCTCTCGGCTATTTTACGACGCCTACAAGTCAGCCTGAAGGCAGCCTCAAGCAGCCCCACACAACCATAAACTGGCCCGACCAGCCCGGACTATCGCCAGCCCGCCTGACCCGGTGTGCAGCCCGAGGATGCCCATTGAGACCCTGATAGACCCTTGAGACCCTTGGGCTGTCATCTCATGATAATCAATTGGTATTGTGAAACGCATCGGCCGTTAAACCCATTTTACACTAATTTTGCACTGTCTCATACTTTCCTTACCCGGATCCATATCCTAAGACAACCCGAACGAAGACCACAAGCCTAAAACCACACTTAACCCGGCGCAAGACCAGCCTGGACCATTCCGCCGCCGACCACGAACCAGCTCAAATCGGTCCCAGCGAGCCAGAGTCACCTGTCACCTCTCACACCGCCACCTGTCACCCCTAACACTGTCACCTGCCACCCCTCACACCGCCACCTGCCACCCTTCAAACCGCCACTCACCTGCCCGCCAGAGCAGATTGCGCTGATCGTGGTCTGCGTTGAACCTTTTGGCGAAGCGGTGGCTCTGCATGAGACAGTCAATCAGCTGGAACAGTTGTCCGGCGCTAAGGTAGGGGTACATGCCCTGGTCCTCGCGCTGCTGGGCGTCGTCCGAGAGACGCTGGCGCAGCGCCTCGGCCTGCGCCAGCGCCAGGTTCTCGGCGTCCTCCTTGCGCGAGGTGGTGGGGAAGAAGACGATGTTGTCGATGGTCTGGATCAGCTCCAGCTGGACCACGCAGCGGATCAGCAGGCTGGCGAATAGATCGTGGTCCTGGTGCACCTGGCCGGCCCACCGTCTCGGTCAGAAGGGGCAGGGGGGGGGGGCGTCGCAAGCTATTTGAAGAACATTTGAACAGGCAACTGAAGTTACGACTGGGTGTATTAGTAAATCTGTGATATCGCTAACTGACATCTAAGGAATACGTGAAAAGACCCGACTTCACGGCATTCAACGGCTGAACGTCTGCAGCTTTAGCTTCACTCTCTAAGCCGCAGCGACAGAGCCATCGCGACGCACCGCCTGACGAACCCTACACATAGCGGGTGCTCAGTTACCAGCCAGCCGCACCCCACTCAATACCACGCCACGACGGGCGACGCACCTTCATCTTCATGATCTTCCTGTTCTTGTCGTCGTTGCTGTAGGAGCCAATGCTGTTGATGCTGTGCATGCTGTCGGCCCGGCTCATGATCTCAGCCGGGGGCTCCAGCGGGCTCTGGCAGACAGCGGGCCGGCGGCGTCAACACACACGCGCGCGCGCCGCATCACGCCAGCAACCAACCACTCGTAACGGCGCCCACTTACGCCGCGCCACGGCGCTAGACTTGGACAAGCTACAGCGCCAGCCTTCCGCACGTATTGATGCCAACTACAGCAGCGTCGACACGCCCCAGCACCAGCCTTTAACATGCTCTGGCGTTGGTCACGCAAGCCTTGCGGCGCAGCGTGGCGCCCCTGACCTTGGGCTCGGCGGCCGCGTCCCCGGGCTTGCCCGGCCGCCAGGTGAGCAGCTGGTGCGG